ACGCAGATCTGCCCTCACAGAGGGGGGAGAGCTTGTACCTGAAGGCAGGCCGGGGGAGGGGCTCTGCAACTTACTTGGCTGCTTCTTGCTCCTCGTGGCCCAACTGAGGGCTGCTGGGAGCAGGGGGCGGGGCTTGTTGCATGTGCCCGCCCCATGGGCTCCTTACTGCCGGAGCTCCGCTCCTGTGCGCTCCCGCAGGAAATGACCCCTGCTCAAGGGAGTAGTGAAGAGGAAGAGAGGATAATAGATGGCAACTTACCTAACTTTTTGGGGAGTGGGTGGGGGATCTCAAACAGGTTTATTAACATATATCCAAGGACTGCAGTTTTCCAATATATAAAAAGAAAATCACGACTGTCTATATATTTTATACTTGCTGCACAAACTTAGAAGCTGATAAAAAAACATAAAGAAGAGCTCTTCTGGATCAGACAAGTGGTCCGAGAGAGCCAGTCTGGTGTAGTGGTGAGGAGCGCGGACTCCTAATCTGGGAGAACCAGGTTTGATTCCCCACTCCTCCACATGCAGCTGCTGGTGTGACCTTGGGTCAGTTACAAGTTGTTTCAGAACCGTTCTCTCAAGGGCAGTTCTCGAGGGAGCTCTCTCAGCCCCACTTACCTCACAGGGTTTCTGTGGTGAGGAGGGGAAGGGAAAGGAGATGCCTTCGAGTAGTGAAGGGCCGGGGTATAAATCCAATCTCTTCTTTATCTAGTCCAGCATCCTGTCTCACACAGTGACCAACCAGTTCCTCTGGAAAGCCAACAACAGGATATGGAGACTGAGGCCTTCCCCTGATGTTGCCTCCGGGCACTGGGATTCACAGGCTGACTGCCTCTGAATGTGGAGGTTCCCTTTAGTCACCATGTCTAGTAGCCACTGATAGATCTCTCCTCCATGAATCTATCTAATCTCCTTTTAAACCCATCTATGCCTGTGGCCAATGTCTCCTCTACGCTATGGAGTCCTGTGAGCAAAAATTGTACTTTTTGAGCTACTGGCATTAAAGTTATGAGCAGGTGATTTGGCTACTGCATAAATTAGTTTGCTCTGGAGCCATCCCTTCCTGAGCCAAGACAAAGGTGTGTGAGCTGGAAGCTAAAAAACTGTGAGCTAGCTCACACTAACTCAGCTTAGAGGGACACACTGCCTGTGGCCATCAATACATCCACTGGGAGCGAATCCCTAGCAAAAATACTGGGCAAAGAGTTTAGAATCCTAAGAATCTTGGCCTTTAATGGATTCTGTTTTATTTTAAGTCTAGTATTTTAATGATGCACAGGTAGATCTGAACATGTGATCATCAGTAGTGGAACAGTTAGTGTCCCTCCACAGCTTGTGGCTGTTGTACATGATGAGGTGATGTGCCCTCTATTTGGGGCATACCATGGTGGTCTCTTAAAAGCAGTTTGTCTACACTTGCTGGAACACCCAGGAACATATGGTGAGAAGCCAAGACTGCAAAGGGGAATTGCAGATGGGCAGACCAAGACACAGTACAAAATTTAGGGCTGTACTTTCACGTACATTCCAGGATAAGCCAGCCATGCTGGCTGCAAACCTGCTATTCTTAATACTGCCATCTCTGCTTCGCCTGCTCTATGCAGTGTCTTCTTGTCCTCAGGGCACTGTATTACAAGAACTTCAGAAAAATGTCTTAGTGGATCGGACTGAAGGTCAAGGGCATGCAGTGAAGCTCACGGGCAGTAGACTGAGGACAGACAAAAGGAAATCCTGTTGAAGGCTTTCACGGCCGGAGTTCATTCGTTGCTGTAGATTTTTCCGGGTTGTGTGGCCGTGGTCTTGACATTGTAGAACCTGACGTTGCGCCGGTAACTGTGACTGGCATCCTCAGAGGTATAACACAGAAAGAGGGAGCGCTCGCTGTGTCAAGTCACAGTTACTGGCGAAACGTCAGGTTCTACAATGTCAAGACCACGGCCACACAACCCGGAAAATCTACAGCAACAAAAGGAAATACTTTTTTACACAGAGAGTGATTGAAACGTGGAATTTGCTGCCAGAGGATGTTGTGATGGCCACAGGAAGGGGATTAGATAGATGCATGGGGTCTGTCAGTGGCTACACGTTCAGAAGCTGTCAATCTCTGAATCCCAGTGCCGGGAGGCAACATTTTTTTAAAAATATATTTTTAATTCATTTTTAAACAATCATTTACAACAATAAACATCACAAGCATTGAACAAGCAACAACAAGAGGATCAAGTTGGATTATAAACTAATCATTTAACAGTAGAAACCATTCTGACACTCTCGAACCTTCAGCAACCAATAAATAAGGGTAAGGAATGCTGGTAACTGCACTGCCGTTGTCAATTAGGAGAACATGAGGACTAGATTAGAGCTAGATCTCCGATATAGAAGAATTCTGTGTGCGTTTCATTGTACGTAAAAAAGAGCTAGAGTAGCGAGAAGAAAAGCCAAGAAGTGTAAGCTATATCAGTAGGAAGATGTTCTGCCTCTGTCATATACTGCAGCCACGGAAACCACGTGCGGACAAATTTTGAATAGGCCATGGTAATACCAGATCGTTGCCAGGAGGCAACATCAGGGGAAGGCCTCTGCCTC